GACCAACTCAGGCCACAAAGAGGGCTATCTGTACCTATATGTATAAAAACATATGTATGTACACATGTCCCTATGTCAAAGAAAATGACAAGGAAAATCCGAAACCCAAGATGCTGAACAAAAAAGAAACTTGGCAAACAATGTGGCTGAAAGACTGTTGAGGATGGCAAGAAGGGAGAAAATAACCGAGAGTAGATATGTGAAGGAATTTGGTTATGAAAAAAGCAACAGCAACAACAACAACATCAACGCAGATGAAATAACATCGCGTGTTGTTTATGTATACACAGAGATATATGTATGTAAATAAGTTGTATTATATATCCAATTTTTATATACACACAATTTTTGGAGAAAGGTTTGTTTTTTTTTTTTTTTGCAACAGCGAGAAAGGCAAGAGGGTGTCTTTTTTCCGAAGATTTAGGAAAAACATTTTGTATTATATTTGGTAAAATTGTTTTAGATTTCTCTATTTTCTGCCAATAAGATTTAATTTTTAATTAATTTTTAATTTAGTTTTTTTTTATTTTAATTTTCAATTATGGCCATATGGCTAGAGAGGTTATGTGTCATTTCATACAAAACGTGCCTCGTCGAAATAACGTGCCTCATCGAAATCAATCGATTTTACCAACAGATATATATATATGGATATAAATATTAACACGTGCCAGATTTGAACTATATCGACTACTTCCTATACTTTATATGAGATATGTGCAAATTTCTGGAAAATGTGGAAATATGCGTGAGGTAACAAATATAGCGGACCGAAGTATTCCATGTTCATACTAATTCATATAATACATATAAAACAAGTAAGCAAAGGCTATTGTCGTGCAGGGCCGATCATGTGATACCCTACAACACTACAATATGTTAGAAGCCCCCTCATGTCCAAATCCATTTTGGAAGATTTCGCTTTTGAAAATATGTCATAGAGCACTGCCCAGATATAACCCTTAGCTTTTTGATCAGGTACAGTTGCCCAATATTTACGCACTCCGTCGTGTTGTTAGTTGTTGTGGTCTATTTTACAGCTAAATATAATACAATTGTCATCCAAAATGCTAGACTTTTTCCCTGTCCCTGCGGACATCTGTAAATACAATAAGCTTATCCCTTCTGATCCTTACCTTACCCATATGCAAATTTTCGTGAGGATCAGACGATCTGTATACAATAACCCCAACCTGTGTTGTAAGGCGAAAAAATATTACAAAATGTACACTTCAGTATTAAAAAAAATTGAAAAAATCGCATGCGATAAAAAATATGAAAAAATAAAAAAAATATCACAAAATACTACATAATCTATATTAACATCATTATTTGCATCTTTTTATGCGACTTTTTTAGATTTTAGTCTTTTATGCCAAGACTGCATTCTGTATTGACAAAATTTGTAAAAATCGGTCCAGCCATTCTTGAGATATAAGCATTCTAGCTAACATCCCTTTCTTTTGTACATACACATTGTATATTTATCCAATATATTTACTATCGGCATCTACCGTTACGGTCAGAATTGGCCTGTTCGTATATTTGTGATTTCGTCGGGATTAAAAATATTCGCAGTTTAATGGAAAATTTGACTTTTGTTTAACTCTAATGTTATGGTCTATTTCACCCACTAAATATTACCCTATGACCATTGGAAGGTTTCTGCCCAGCCCTAAGCTCTAACCCCATGCTATAATTGCGACCTGCAGAGCAACTGCAAAATCAGGAAATTTTTCAGTTTTTGGTCCATTTTAACCCGTAGATATTATGCGATCATCTCCAAAATAGGCTTCTATTCTGGCCTTAACCCCACCTCTATGGAAAATTTCGTGAGGATCGGGCCATAATTGCGACCTGTAGCGCGATTTCAAATTAACATTGAAAGACGAACGGACGTACATACATATCTAGATCGACTCAATATTTCGAGATACTACATAATTTTTTGCCAAATCAAACTTATAATAACCCCAACACATAGTGTTGTACGGTATAAATATAAGTATGTGCAAAATTTGAAGAAAACGAACATTTATATCCAATTTCATGCGAAATCATAAATTCCGATTTTAGAGACATTTTTAGAAATAGCAAGTTGTACAGAATCACCTACTTGTTTCGAAAGTTATGAAAGATATAAGTATTGGAAGTTGTGACCCTTTGTGGGTGAGGTACCAGAAGGGGTTGGCAGATGTATATCATCCTCACAACAGATCTTGTCTTAGCAAAAATGTTTGTATGTGGGCCATTTGAGAAGATGGATGGATATGGATGATTATTACGCTTTCTTTTTTCAAAATCATATTTATAAAAGATTTTGTGTTGTTACGTTAATTTCGCGTTTTATGAGCTTCAAAATGTTTACCCTTCGTGGGAGACGACCGACATATTCCATCTTCATACCTTGGGTTAATAAAAATATTGTGATGTGTGAAATTTGTAGAAAATTGGACTCTTATATCATATCTTTATTCTTTATATCTTTATAAGATTTATATTTATTCAAAATTTTGACCCTTTGTGGATGAGGTACTTGATGGAGTGAAGCGATAAAATGCGAAATTAACATTCGATTCAATTCATACTTGGCACATCTCAATATTTCTATCAACTCAAAAACTGTTATAAAGATGGTAGGGTAGGGTCATAGGGTCAAGACTAAACAAAACACTCAAAGAAAGCAAAGAAATAAGCATCCAACTCTCTTCAAATTTCACATAGCGAAACAAGACTGCGATTCTTTAAAAATTGCTATATCTAAATATTTGTCTCAACCAGAAACCTGAGATGAATATGAAATTTATAATTTTCGCATAAAATTTGATATAAATGTTCGATTTTCTCACGCGCATTTTCTAATAATTATCACATATCTCATATAAAGTGAAGGAAGTAATCAATATAGTCCGCGCCAGGCATGTCGCAATATTTATATCATATTTGTTTAGTTCCAATAGGAAATGGACAATATTGGCCCATTCCTTCGGAATCTACTCCATAGAGGATCATCAATTTGAATAATCATAACATGAGTTAAAATGTGTTGAAATTGGCTGAGGGTATACATCTGTCGGCAAACCCGACTCATACTTTTTAAATTGTTATACCCCCACCTTGAAATGGAGGGTATATTAACTTTGGTCATTCCGTTTGTAACATTCCCAAGTATTCGTTGTAGACCCCATAAAGTATATATATTCGTTATTATCAGCGTATAATTCTAAGTCGATTTAACGATGCCCGTCTGTCTGTCTGTTGAAATCTCGATAAAGCCCACATTATTTGACGCAGACCTTTAAAATTTGGCAGAAGAATTTTGTATAATGTCCAGAATGGTTGGTATTGAAAATGAGATATATCGGTCCATATAACGATACCTCCTGATATCCGGTGTTTTGATGATTTTCGACACTTTTTTTCACGGATTTGTGTAAAAATTGGTATTTGAAGGTCATAATGGGTTCTAGCTTCGGTAGCGAAACATTGTATGTATAGGTCAACGTTTTCGTATAGCCCCCAAATAATGGTACCTCCGGAAATTCTGAATTTTGATGATTTTTGCCACATTTTTCCACGGATTTGTCCAAAAATAGGTATTTGTAGTTCGTAATGGGTTCTAGCTGCTGTGTCGGAGCATAGTATGTTTTTCTTTTATCTGTAGAACGTCTTCTGTGCACAGAATATTTATGAACTCAAGTCTCAAAATAATTTTGAGCGTTATGATCTACATAACTTATAATTCTATTTGGGCGCCACGTGAAGATTTTTGGATTTAACGGTCGATAAACAATACTGGTATTGAAACAAAACAAAATATAACAAAAAAAAAAAAAAAAAAAAAACAAAATCTGTTTTTACTAAAAAATATGGGAGAGCTGTTGCCGAAATGGAGATGGTCACTATCGAGACGAATTCTAAAAGCATACGTCTTAACTTAATTAACTTAAGGTAAGAATACATGACTGGCTTAAGCCATCGGCTGGCTTCTTCGTCAAAGAACAAACGAGCGTAGGACCAATATCGAACTATGTCAACCTAAAACTCCATTGTTCCTCTGCGTAGAAGTCAGCCGATGACTTAAACCAGTCAAAAAATGCGTTCTACGTATTCACACCTTTATTCTGAAATTCTTATAATTTTAGCGCTTTTTTGTTTTGGCGTTTTTCCTGTCTTCCCCACTTGACATCACTGTTTTTACGCACATATGTGTGTGTATGTACACGAAAAAACGTGCCTATGTATAAATAAGTCGCAAAAAATAACGGAAATGATAGGAATTTGTTGTAACAATAAAAAAAGAAAGCTGCTGCTGCTGAGAGCAAGAAGTTACAGAGAGAGAGAGAGGACCAAAAATATTTCTTTGCAAAAACAAAAATAGCAGCAACAACGACAACAACAACCATAGCAGTGATGTGGCGGTGGTGCTGGTTGGCGGTGATAATCCTGTAAGGCGAGCAAAATGTGTACCCAAGAACAGTTGGAGAAGTTTTTTGTTGCTGCCTTACGCTTTCATAGCTTAGCTTGTGACAGTCAAAAACGTTTTCCAGCAACTGCTTATCAGGGCAAAGAGGATTACATTTAGGGATTTCCTTTGTGATTGGCGGGCGGTCGAAGGTGGGGTGGCAGGATTATGTGACTTCTGTTTAAGGAATTTTTGCATTGGGTGCCTCTTTGAGATTGGTATTTGATGAAAATGGTTTCTTTTTGGGAATATTGTCTTTTTTATGGAAAAAGAGGAAAGGAAAGGAAGGACTTTTATTGTTTTCTGAGAGTACGTGTGTGTATTCCTTGGTCCCTTGGTTGGTAGGAGTAGTAGTTAGGGGGTGGTGGAGATAGAGAGCGTAGAAAAATTTCATAAGCGTTTTTATTATGTAACATCGCCAAGTAAGACAAGCCTTTTTGTTTGTTACCCTATGACCTTTGACTGGCGAGTTGGGGGCAGTGAAGGCAACCGGATTTGAATTTTAATATTTTTCCTTTTTTTGGATTGGCCTTACCTTGTTGTACGGCTAACATTAGCACCATGACACTGGCAATGATGAGAGACTGCATTTTGGTAATGGTTATGACTCCTTTTTTTTGGTGTACAAGCGGGCGAGAGCTGTAGGATTCCTTGGATTTTCAAATCGTATTTTTTATTTAAAGATATTTTTTTTTTAATATTTCTTTTTTTTTTTTCAAATAAGGTACTTTGTTAAACTTGTTTTTTTCTTGCTATCCGACAATTGCGATTTCCATTAATATCATTAAATTGTTTCTATTGTTATTCCCAGTGACACTTTCAATTGGCAAAAATTCAAATGGAAAAATTTTCGGCGAGTGTGTGTGAATGTTTGATTTATTTATCGTTCGGTTTCGCGGCTGATTATCAATTTAATTTCAAATCCGTCCGTTCTTTCTTTTTTTTTTTTTTTTGAAAACCTAATAAAAACGCAAGGGGTTTTTGTGCGGTTGTGTGTGTGTGCGTTCTTCAATTTCAAACGGTTTTTGGAATTCAAATTTCGAGCACCGAGACTGACACGCGATGTTAGATGTTCAGATGACAAAGTGAAATTACAAACGAAAATTTTCCCAATTCCAATTCGGCTATAAAATCCCATCTCATTTGCTTTGCCGAGACTATCACTCATTTATTAAAAGAGGCGCACACAGACACGCACACATTCAAGAGTATACATAGGAGAATACACACTCACCCACTCTCCCTCTCTATTATTGGTGTTAGACGAAGAAATCATTGTTAGATGCATGGAAATTTACACATATTCTCTCAATCGCTCTCTCTCTGGCCAGAGGAGACACACAAGAGAAGCTTAAATTATATGAATGGAAAGCTTTCTAAAGCTTTGCCACCTTTTTTGTTTGGTGTTAGTATAACTTTGCGCTTTTTATACCCTCCACCATAGTATGGAGGGTAAATTAGGTTTGTCATTCCGTTTGTAACACCTCGAAATATACATTTTAAACCCCACAACGTATACATATTCTTGATCGGCATTAAATTCTATGTCGATCTAACAATGTCCTTCCGCCTGTAAAGTAAGTTGATAAAAATTTACTCGAATGTTTATTATGTCTGCAGGACTTTTGGTATTGAAAATGGGCCATGTAGGTCCACATCTTCGTATTGCCTCCATATAACGGTAACACCGATATACAGTATTTTGATGATTTTAGCGACATTATTTACCGGAATTGTTTCAAATTTTGTATTTAAGGTTCGTAATGGATACTACAGCCTATGTCTGAAAATTGTCTGTGCAGGCTCATGACATAAGTTGCTGGTTCACGTCGTCGTATAGACCCTAATATACGGCTACATTCGGTATTTTTAAGATTTTAACAAAATTTTTAACGGATTTTAATTTTTTGAAAATTGCCAAATTTGTACCAAATGGGGGAGGGTATTTAAAGTTCGGTCCGGTCGAACTTACAATCCCTCTAGGAACCATTAAGGAAAAGTCAAAAGTCGGACGGGGCCGCTATATGATAAGCTACACCACTATGCATATTTAGTAGAGCTCCTGTAACAAAAGAATTTATTTGAAGTAGATCATACCACCTTTTAACATTTGATTTTAGAACAGCTATAGATTGGTTTCAGAGGGAACTAATATATGGTAGACATATCCAATTCTGAATCGATTTTCATTAAATTTGAAGGTGACATTTGTATAACAATATTGCCATAGAGTGCATGATATCACTTCGTGAAGGATTATATTAAAAAAATATGTTTTGGAGCCGAGTTCCACCAAATTGAAACGTACAAAATTCCGAATATCGGGGTACCGTTATATGGGGGCTATAATATATCGTGGAACTATATAGGTAATTCTCTTCCAGGGAATAAAGTACTCAAAGGGAACTCCTTTTGCGGATTTTCAGACAGTTTCATTGTTCAAAATTTGGCTACAATCATCAAAATACCGAATATCGGTATCGTGAATCGATTTTCGAACTTGACCTGCCTACAGACAAAAGGCTGATCTGTGCAAAATTTCAGCTTCCTATCTTTATTCGTTTTGACTACAGCGTGATTAAAACAGACTGCGTGATATTATAGGACGGACGAACGGACAGGGTTGAATCTTCTTATATATGACGGAATGACGAACTTAATATACCCTCCATACTATGTATGGTGTAGGTTAAAAAAGCTGACACGATGGAGATGGAACGAATGATTTAGTACCACTTTTTTAAGGTACTAAAACATATCTTTTCTTTCGCAGAACCTACAAGAATTTACTACTTTTTAGTTGCAATAGCTACAACTTTAGACTGAATAATATTCCAAAATCTAAATCATATTAGGAATACCCCATTCGACTTTCGATTAATCGATATATTTGATGTCTGGAGCTGTAAATAGAAACGCCTTGCTATCCATTCTCGTGTTAGCTTGTGTTTCTTTGGCATACCTTAAAGTCGTCGTGGAATTCTTTGTCGCTCGAAAAAAAGGATAAAAATGCCACCGCGTTTTTTCCGAATTCGGAAAAGAACTCTGCACACTTTTTCGAATCTGATGTCAAATTCGGAAAAATTGTGTGGGATTGCCCATGATTCTGAAAGATTTTTTTTTTTCGGAAAAAAAGTAGGTAAGGACATTAGAGTTTCGTGAAGAATTCGCAAAAATGTCGGTCGGTTTGAACCGAAATTCGGGAAAAATCGGTATTTATTCTGAAATCGAAAAAAGTCGACTAAAACCTTCGAAGTTCGGAAAAGAGTCGAATGTTTGATCTGAAATTATTTATATGTTTGACTCGAAATTCAGCAAAAAATTCTGAATTTTTTCTATAGTTTTAACCGAAAATCGGAAAAAATTCGATCAATTGATTTGAAAATCGGAAAAGTATCGAAAGTCTGAAAATTTTCAGATGTTTTACCTGAAAATCGAAAAAAAATCGATTAATTCATTCGAAATTCGGAAAAGAGTCGAATGCTTGATCTGAAATTTCTCAGAAATAAATCTAAATTTTTTCTATAGTTTAACCCAAAAATGGAAAAAAATCGATAAATTTATTCGAATATCGGAAATGTGTCGGATGCTTGATTCGAAATTCTGAAGATTTTCAGATTTCTGAAATTCGGAAAAACTATCTGCATTTTTATATCGCACGATAGCTCTCGAAGGGATTATCGGATGTGATCCAAGCTTGGTACATCGTAATGTTATTATCAAACTTAGATTGATTTCGGAGATGCTCAATATCGGAATAACAATATTTACGGTGCATAAATTCAATTTTGCTCCAACATTGCAAATCCTAATATTAGTGTTAGGTCAGGTACGTAAAGGATAATTTCGGTCCACTCCATCAAATATCTCCTCCACAAAGGATTAAAATTTGGAATATTGTTAATTCTTATAAAATGTGATTGTCTTCAAATTACACACACTGCAATATATTTATTAATTTAAATATGGAATATATCGGACAACTCCTTCTGGTACCTCCCCCTAAAAGGGTTTAAAGTGTATCAAACTTGATACATCTCAATATTTCCATCAATACAAGATCTGTTATAAAGTTGGTACCACCCCTCCCCCCCATTGGGTTCAAAATAGTGAAAAACAAAATGCTCAAAGAAAGCGAAATAAGCATCTACCCAAATTTCCAACACACGAAAACAGTTTTGCTAACACAAGATCTGTTGTGAAGATGATATACACCTGCCAACCCCTTTTGGTACCTCACCCTTAAATGGTCACAATTTCCAATACTTCTATCTGTCATAACTTGAGAAACAAGTCGGCGATCCTTTACAACTTGATATATCTAAATATTTCTCTTAACCAGACATCTGATATGAATATGTAATTTTTCGGAATTTATGATTTCGTATAAAATTGATTAGATTAGATTTTCTTCAAATTTTGCACATACGAATATTTTTATCTGTATTATATGAAGAAGCTATATCTGCTACCCCACGCATGTTTCCACATTTTCCAAAAATGTGCACATATCTCATATAAAGTATAGGAAGTAGTGGATATAGTCCAAATCTGGCATGTTGTAATGTTTTTATCCGTCTTAAGCCAGATACGAATTGGTCAATATTATCCGACTGCTTCGGAACATCCTCCATAAAGGGTCAACATGTTGAATAATCATAGCTTAAGGCTGGGGGTATACATCTGTCGGCAAAACCGACTCATACTACTTTACTTGTTTTTGAAATTTTCGACCTTTTGTGGTGGAGGTACCAGAAGGAGTGGTCCGATATCGCCCATCTCCGAACTCGGTATAAATTTTAAAATAATATTACGATGTACCAAGTTTGGACCAAATCGGATAGTCCCTCCGAGAGTTATCGCACGCACCAGCCAGCCAGACAGACGGACGGACATCGCTTTTATACAAGACCTCCCATAAGTTTTCTATAGAAAGATGATATTTTTATTGCTTTTTATTAGATATAATACCCTGCGTAGTAAAAGTCGTTTTTATTATCCCCAATCCATTTAATCCTACCATCTCCGACCCAAAACTATCTTATGTAACTGGGAGCAATCGCATGGGAGAACATCTTTCGCTCTCTCTCTGTATCTCATCTACTTCTCTTGCATATTCTTTACAGCTTCCTCTCTGCAAAGTATATACAATTTTTTCTAAAGTTCATTGGTTTTTTGCTGATACCACCATAGTATACGCAAAAGTTCTATTTTTTCCCATTTGCGAATGGAAAGCTTTTCCGTTTGCACCACTTCCCTACATTTTTGAATTTTTGTGTGTCACAGGAATCGTTGTCGTAAGTCAACGATGGCGTCGTAGGTCGTTCGTTTGTTGTGTCGTAGTTCCTTTCTTTTTGTTCGTCGATTTTGCGAGAGAGACCATTGTGTTTTGATAACCTTTAAAAATTGAGAATATTTTTCATACTCTAGTCAAGTTTTTTTTTTTCTTCGACGAGTCAACCTGTCATCCTTTTGTTCTTTAATACACGCCAACAAATGCCAACTCTGTTTGGTATCCTTTGCTGGCCAGGCCTTCGAACATGCCTACACAAAGTCACTGGCCCCCAAAACAATTTACAAAGGGGGGTTATTAACATACATATATATACATATGGTGTGTATGGATGGGTGAGTGAGAGAGAGATGTAAATGTCAAACTGACAGCTCATAAATGTAGTGTGTATTTGTTATTCCCTTGGGGGGACACTATTGGTGTGTGAATGCGGGTGGTCTTGACTTTTGTTTTTGATTTACCCAACCAAGCATCCCCTCCAACCCGATTTAACTTTCGTTTTGTTTTTCGGTTTTCACTTTCTTTTCGTTAATGATGAATTAATGGGACAATGGAAGTTATGTTAAGTGTTTCCATATTTGGGTGTATGGGTTTTGTTTTTATTAAAAAAGGACTTCCATACAACCATGTGAACACAGAGGAATCTCGGCGTTTATGTAATGTGTGTTTTGAGGGGCGTTTGACTGAAGTTCTATTTGGAGGACTCCCTTATTTTTAACATTTTTTTATGCCGAATGAAATTTATAGCTTCGGGCGCTATTTTCACCAACGAACGAACATTGGCAATGAGGCGACATTGTGCAGACGTGT